TAGAAAAGTGTGAAAAAAAATAAAAGCTGTGGGGTGTGGGGGGGGAGTCTATCATCGATAAATTTTTTTAAAATCTTTTGTTTTCTCTTTTTATTTGTCTTCTTTACCAGCTTTTCCTAAAAAAAGTTAAACTTTTTTAATCAAAGATTATTTAATATTTTTGGCCGCCTAAATCAATCAAATACCCCACCGTGCGTCCCAACGTTTTCTCTTTGATATATGCAGTAGTTTCCAAATTTAATTGGTGATCTAAAGTTCTTTTCTCTGGTAGAGTACGATTTTTAGTGATATGTTCAAACATTTTATCAAAAATTCCATTTGCTTCACATGACAAATTTTCAACTTCGAGATGAATTTCAGCGGGAATCATAGTAATATTTAAGTCATGTTTTATTTCAGATGTCATTAGATAATATTTTACAATTTGTATCTCTGCCAAAGTAAGCATTTCTGATTTAAATCGAGGGTCTAAGAAAGTAGCGGTAAGAAAAATGCTTTCACTTAAATCAAAGCTCATTTCTAACTGCGTAGTAAGATCGTCAACAAATTTACTTACCCCTTTTTTATCCAATAAACGAAGATAATTTTTCAAAGTTGTAATGCTCGGATAAACTAAAATAATGCTTACGCTTTTTTTGCACTTAGTATAGTAGTGGCTTTAGATACTGCATTTAAAATAAGAGTGACTGTTTTTAATAATTGCATTTGTGTTTCAGTTAGACAAATCGGTGGCACTTTCATACAGTTTTTTTTTTGTGAACACTCAACTACAGCAATTTCTATTGAACCATGATTTTTTTAATCCATTCCAATAAGTCAGAAGTGCTGTTAAAGCGCGTTTCCGCAAGAGGCTTTGACTCAGATTTTCCTTGAGAAATTTGATACTTTTTGAGAGTTGCCTGTCCAACTAATGATGAGTGAAAAAATCCTATTATTTTATGAGCCTTGCTAGTTAATGTGACAAGAATTAGTTGGTTGTGTATAGCTGATTTCACACAAAATTGGAGTTTATAAGCACAACAGCCTAGCCATTCAATCCCAAGAAGTTTAAGTTGCATGGCATACTAGGAGTAGTATTGGTTGTAGGTCGGAAAATATCATCTGAAATCAAGTCAAATTTTGACAGCACGTTTCTTAAAATTTCTTCAGTGGAAGTACCTTTGTGACACACATTTATTACTTTCAGATTTACAACTGATAAATAACATGATTCTAAAACCCAAGAGGATGAAATAAAGTGACAAGTAGAAACAAGAAAGTTATCGCCATTGTTGGCTTTAAAGTGATCAAAAGTGATGCTAGGTTTGGAGATAAACTGGTTTTTTATACTTTGTTGAATGTAAATATATAAATTGTCGACCAAATCACCTAAATTTCGAGATAAAGTGGTCAGGTGTGGTGGATAATATTGCTTTTGAGTGAGCACCAAGCATAGATTAATAATGCCAGATCCAGAAGTTGTCTCAAATGGTATTCCATCTTCAATTATAAATCTAAGCACTGCACGATCGTAATTTTTTTTAATAATTGTATCTATTGGGGGTCGAATAAAATACGAATTTAACGCGGAACATGATGATTGTTTGATTATATTATCGGAATTCTTTTTTCTTTTAGTAGCAGATGTACGCTTTTTTGTTGCTTCTACGTGTAATCTTTTATGGTCACGTTTTAAATAGTTCCATAGATGAGATAAAGTTCCAGTTTTCTGAACAGAATACTTTTTGTTGCAATTTTCTTGTTTGCATTACCAGAATACTCATTTTTTTTCAAAAAATTCTTGTACCAGTTTTTTTAAAGTCATTTTATAGCTTGATACGAAACTAGCTTGATGTAGCACAAACAAAAAGTATCAAATTTGAAATTACTTTAGTGAAAGCAAAGTCAAACATTAACGATGCAAAAAAAAAAAAGCTAAGTTTTGCGTTACTCTGTTTAATTCGCTAATCGACAAATAATTTTAATGAAAAGTACGTTTACGTTCCAAATTTACTCTACCACTGAATTTTCTAATAAGATAAATATTGATATTTCCAAAACTTTGATGCTCGTATAAAAACATAAAGTAATTTAAATAAAAAAATGATTCCAAAAACTCGAATCATTTTTTTCGAATCAAATCTCGAATCGAAGCAACATTTGATTTGCGAATCGACTCGAATCGAAGCAATACGCAGGGCCCTAATGCTAATATTTCATACAACAAATTTGTCAATATTTACAATAAAGGACTTATATATTTCATTCCAACAATTATAAAGGGAGTTGTTAAAACAAAAGCGCCTTGGATGAACTCTAACTTAGAAAAGTTAATTAGAAAGAAAAGAAACCTCTGGAGAAAATGTTTACATAATCGTTTTTATTAACAAAGGAAATGTGCTAGAAAAAAAAATCAATTAGAAATAACGTAAAAAAAAAATTAAGAACTAAATTAAATTATATGAAACAACCATTGCCTTAAACATTAAGAAAAACCAAAAGCAATTTATTCATATATAAACAAAAAATCAAAAGTTAAAGAAGGAATTAACGCATTAAATGTAAACGGCAAACTTGAAAGAAATTATTTATCAATATCACATTCCTTAAATAACTGTTTTAGCTCTGTTTTCACCAATGAAATTCGTGACAATATACCATACTTTAAAAACAGGACAAACAGTTTCTATAATCCGGAAGTCACTAAATCCAAATAAATGTACACTTCCTTTATCATTTATTTTTAATAAATCGTATGACACAGCAATAATTCCATCGTTGTGGTTAAATGCTAATTTAACGGAAGATAACTTACCAGTAGATATTATTTTCCTAAATATAAAAAAAGCTTTGGATTCCGTGCCTCACAACAGATTGTGTCTTAAACTAAAAAATTATGGATTTAACTATAAAGCAGTTAGATGATGCAAAAATTTCGTATATAACAGAGTGCAACATGTTGTCTGCAACGGCGAATTTTTAAACTGGTCTCCAGTTACAAGTGGAGTACCGCAAGGGTCTGTCTTGGATCTGTTTATATTTATTGTTTATATAAACGACTTACCGAATGAGTTATCAACAAACTGTAAAATGTATGCTGATAATATTAAACTAATTTACATAATTAGATCATCTTCTGATATAGAAAAGACTCAAACAGATCTAAACAAATTAATGACATGGTCACAATTATGGCTATTAAAATTTAATGTGAGCAAATGTAAACGCATGCATAGATAGCAAAAATACTAAGCAAATATATACAATGTATGATTCAGTGTTAAATAGAGTTGAACTACCAGAAACCAAAATTGAAAAAGATTTAGGAATTATGATTTCAAACGACTTAAAATGGTCTAGTCAAGTTACTTATGTGTCTGGTAAAGCTAATAAAATGTGAGGAATAATAAAACATTCATTTAAAAACTTAGACATAAACTCGTCTAAATTATTGTACACCTCTCTTGTAAGACCGTATTTAGACTAAGCAAATTCAGTGAGGTATCCTTACTTATAACAAGATAAAAAAATTGAATCAATACAACGTAAAGCAACACGAATAAAATGTCTTCAAGGGAAAAACTATGAAAGTAGACTAACCTGCTTTAAATTAACGACTCTAGAAAAAGACACAAACGTAATGACTTAATCTTTATAAAATAGTAAAAAAGAGTAGATAATTTAACATTGAAATATCCACCAGATTTAATAGCTTCAAATACGAGAGGTCACAATATGAGGTTTCATAGACAATTCGCAACGTTAGAATTATTTTGTTCTACCTCCACATTTTTTAGTTTTGAGATAAAACGATTTAAAAAACAAAAATTTTAGGAGACGGCGTATAATTTTTTTTTTATAATTTATGTTTTTTCCGCAACTTGTTTACTTATAACTTAGGTTTCAATTCAGTAGAAAGACATTATTTTGAGGAACACAACACTATCATTAACTCAATTTTTTCAGAAAGTGGAGATAGAACAAGATAATCATAACGTCGCCAATTAACTGAAAATCCGAAGAGGTACTATTTCTTAACAAACCGTGTTATTAACAAAATATACTTAAGAATAACTTAGATCAAAACATTGTAAATTCTAAATCACTCAAACAATTTAAATCAAAGGTGGACTTATTTTTAACATAAATTGGCTGTTAAAATTACCTAAGCTCCGTACATTGTCATTGTACATGTGCACAGTTATTATTAAATGAATAAACAAACTTAATATGTAGGCTAAAATAAAATAATTTTTTATAAAAAAATAGTTTATGAAAAAAGGGGAGATATGCCGATTTTATAGCATATTTTTGGGAAGTAGGATCAAAAAGGCAAAAAAATAGAAATGAAGTATGTGTGTAGGGGGGGGGGGGGAGTGACAAATGGTTACAGAAACATAGTATATTGTATGTATATAAAATAATATTTATGTATGTAAAAATCTTGTAGAAAGTATAGTAATAAAAAGGTAATAATGATTTTTTAAACAAAATATATTTACAAAAATTCAAGTAAAAAGTTACATTTTTTCAAGTCGTTAAAAAATTAAACATTTATAGTTTAAAAAAACAAATTTTTTAAAAAATTAGACACTATATTAGATGCACTTTTAAAGGAGTTTAAACGTTTTAAGTAAATGAGTTGATAAATGGTGCGTTGAAAAATAAAAAATCATCTAATCATTTCACTTTTACTGAATGCAAATAAGAAAATTTTGATTGGCAAATCAATGTTTTTTACTTAACAACACTCTCAAAATATACTTATGATGTTTATATGTATAATTTAAAAAAACTTACTAATTTAGTTAAAAAAAACTGATTTACTAATGAACTTACTGCACTATTTTATACTTTATCGATTATATTTTATATCAGTTGAAATTAAAAATTAAGGAAAAATGCTATAATATACATACATATATATATATATATATATATATATATATATATATATATATATATATATATATATATATATATATATATATATATATATATATATATATATATATATATATATACATATATATATATATATATATATATATATATATAGCATTTAATTCTGCTATAATGGTGACAAACAAATCTTAATCAAGTGAAGAAATGATTTGAAAAAAATACAAATAATATTCCACAAAACAGTTTCCACTTTAAAAATGTAATTCCAGTAGAAATAGCAGCTTTGTTGGCGATTCTTGTTATCTAAAATTTAATTATTGTTTTAGTTTAAAATAAAAGTTTATGAAATATTTATATAGTATTTATAGACATATTTACTATATGAGTAATTCTTGATTCTATTAGGTCCAAAAAAATTTTAATACAAATTTTCTTTGATAAATGATTTAACAACGAACAATTGAACAAACAAAACGTTAAATTTAATATTTAGATGATTTACTGGTTGTTCAATAACATTCCTTTAAGTAAAATCTAAAATATTTATTAATTATTCTTACAAAAAACATTTCTGAACGAAATTATTTTATATACACAAAGGAGGAATACATAACACTCAAATACACTATGGAGGAGTACATGTATGTACTCCTCATTAGTGTACACAGTGTTAGTGCATGGGTTACACAGTAATTACACAAACCTCTAATCATCATGAATGAATTTTAGGTAATAAAATTAGGTTTTTTAAAAATTTGGTTTTAAGAAAAAAAGAGACGATCCTAGAATTCAGCAGTGCACATGGCAGGTTGTACTAGATTGTTACTGGTAGCAGCATGATTGTTACTGGTAGCAGCATGATCGTGAAGATCTTAATTAGCAATCGACTTTTAAGGAACAAGAAAGTAAATAAAATGAAAATAAACTGAATAAAATTAATAAACTAAATTAAATTAAACAAACCAAAGTCTTTTGCTCTTTTAACTGGTTGTTCAAGATAAGTATCTAAAATAAAATTTAATCTAAAAATTAAGGGATGCTCTAATTATGAACTTTATAAGACAAGTGAGGGATACTATGAAGTATGAACCTTGAAAGACTAGATCACTTTCAATTCATGAAAATTTTTTGGAAACCAAATTTGAAAATTATTTTATTTCCAGAGATATAACATAATTTAAAAAAGTAGAAACAAAATAATAAAAGTTAAAAAAAAAATATTCAAAATGTTGTATTTTAAGTTTAAACAAGAATATTTTAACTAACCCTGACACTATCGTTTTTTAGAAAAATTAACTTTATTTGTTTTTAAGGTATATTTTGGTTTAATTTTTTCTCAAACTAATTTTTTTGCTTAACTTTTCATGTTATTTTACAATGTTATGTTACATTAATCACTAAAATGTTATTATTAACTTCATGTTATGTTACAATATTACATTAATCACTAAAATTACCTGGTTTTTATTCTCATCGAATTTATTATTAAAATCATCAACTGTTTTCATAAATGTCTTTTTGTAAACTTCACTCTGAAAAAAAAAGTAATATAAAATTTAATAGTAAAATTAATAAAAATGTGTTAACTAAAAAAAATAAAACATTCAAAAAACTACATAATTTAAATATATGCGAGAAATTATTTACAAATAAATATATACAAATAAATAAATTTGAGTAAATAATATAAAAAATAGCTTATTGATTACACTGTATATAAATTTTACAAACTTTTTTCTTATTTTTCTTCTCAAAAGTTTTGGGAGGTAATAAATAATGGTCCATTAATAAATAGACGAGGCAATCAAATAAATAGAAATTTTAATCCTTTCTAAATGTAAAAAAAATTTTTAAAATTTTCTTTACATTTAGAAAATAACCTTCACTCACTTTTGTACTACTACACCATTCTTTTTGTTCTTTATTGTTTTCCCTCTACTCAAAACTTATTTTCTTCTTTTATTGTTCTCCCTCTACTCAAAACTTCACTCTTTTTGATGTTACTTCAAATTGAGTTAACTAATTCAATTAATTTCTTACTACTAACTAGGCTGAGAATGAAGAAGTAGTACAAAACCAAAATTTTAAGGAGATTATAGCATAGTGAGATTTAAGGAGATTATAGCATAGTGAGATTTAAGGAGATTATAGCATAGTGAGATTTAAGGAGATTATAGCATAGTGAGATTTAAGGAGATTATAGCATAGCGAGATTTAGGGCGATTATAGAAGAGAGAATTTTTTTGTTAATAACACTGTTAAATAGAAAAAAGTGTGATCAGTGAATAGTTTCAGTGATATTTAAGTTAGCGTTATATAAAATTAAAAGTAAAAATAATCGATTTCGTTAATATGAATGAAAACTGAAATTAGAAATTATTTGAAGAACGAAAACTGAAATAGAATTGAATATTAATATCGGAAACAAAAATAGAAGTGCACATGCCTGGCGACTAATTTGTTCATGTTCTCTTTGGCTTGCTTGCCATGTTTTGAAATTTTTTTATAACAAACGATTAAATGTATTGTTGACATAAGAAACAAACTCTTATGTCAACGATACATTTAATCTTTTGTTCCAAAAGATACTAAAGAGTTAAAAATCACTCAATAAAAAAAAATTTTATCAAAGTTTTTGGTTGGTAAGAATCGTGAAAGTTATGTATGAAAATTTTTTATTTAGGATAAAAAAAATGACACACCCACATGCTTAGTTCAGGACAAAAATAATGAGGACGCGTATACACAACTCTTGTTGGTAAAAATTCTAGTAACTTGGTAACACATATTCAGAGAATACATAAAGAGACACCAAATTTACATTAAAGAAAAAACAAGTTGCAAAAAAACAATTTTTAAAGCGCAAAATTGATGATAATGATTCTACATCTTAACGAAATAGTGGAAAAACAAAGATCCAGACAATAGAATGCTTTGAATGCTGATAACCAAGTGGCAAAGGAAACCAAATGAACATCGACTGCGTCAGGATAGCATGATTAAAATGATTGTCAATAACAGCTAACACTGGCATTGTTTGGTCAGCCGTCATATTGAAAGATGATAAAAATGTTAGACCCAAAATTTAAATTGCCAGATAATTAACAACTAAATTTGCAAAATATTATATTTTAAATTCACTAATGCTTAACAATTTTGAATGTTATAAACTAGCCTATAAGAGTGCATAGAAATTTCCAGTAGCCAAGTTTGTGATATTTTAGGGTTAGCTGATTTTCAATTTTATATAGTGGAGTAGATTGCCTAAAATAAATATACTATTATTTGTGCGTTAAAAGGATGAATAAACCCAAATAAACCCAAAATAAAAGAAATATTGAGAAACAATTTACTATCAAACGTAGTCAATATTAATAACCAAAATCATATAACCATTATTACTAATAACCAATATTAGTAACCAAAAATAATCATGAGGTTATTATTTCAGGGTTATTTGAAACTATATTAGGCTAACCATGATTTAAGTAAAATTACCGGAATTTATGGAAAAATACCGCATGTGTTTGCAGTTTGCTTTAAATTATTTTTATGGAAAAACAATTTAAAACAAATTTACATTAACAGTAGTTTAAAGCAAATTTACATATTTATTTAAACTATAATTTACTTATTTATCCATTAATTATAGTAATTATAACACTAAATGCTATAATTGTAACTTTATTTTTTTAAAATTGCATGGTCTGTAACACTGAACAAGCGGATAAATAAACGTTTTTATCTACAACACAACTGAAAGACTTGTTGATTTTTGCTTGCAAAGTAACAATTTGTCTTAATGGCTGGATGAAGAAAGGTCTCACAGCATCATTCCTTGGAATATTTGCATGTTTGTATGACACCACAGAAACAGGTATATATTATTATTTATGTTATTGGTGCATACAAACTATTTTTGGGATTTTAAAATTCACAAAATTGCTGTCTTATTTAAACTAAGAAAATAAAAGTAACAATAAATTGAAAGAAGTTCTTTAGTCATTATCATTGAAAAACAAGACAGGATGTATAGTAAAGGCTTTATCTTGTCTTTTATATAACAAAAACTAGGTAAAAGAGACATGGGAAAAACGATGACAATTATTAGTTATTATAATTGTTATTAATAAAGTTTAATTTCAGATGAATTTCTTAAATTTAGGAATTGACAAATTCAGAGCAAGTGAATGGGTTTGGCTTCAAAATATTTCTTCACTTTTAGAGCCCTTTGCAGTACAAACGAATTTAATTCAAACTGATGCCTAATCCCTTTCACAGGTTATACCATCTAAACTCAATACTATCTGCAAGAACATCTTACAAACTAGATTTTGACAACATATCTTCTTGGAGATCTAAGTCAAAGATTTAAACCAATTCTGCAGTCTGACTTGGCTATGTTTAATTTACTTCTGCTGCATGTTTGTCAGATCCAACTGTTGCTGTCTTTATTCTTACGCTGGAATTGGGCACCTTACTCCATGCAGCAATATGTATGTAGGTCAATTGTCAAGATATTTGGCAGACATAAAGTGTAATGACGCCTTGTCAGGTTGCTCTTTTGGAAACAAAACAAAAGCAAGTATAGTAAGATTGTGATGTTGGCTGAAGATTTGTTGTCCAAACCCAGAAGCTCAGGTGTTTGTGAAAAGGATTTTAAGGAATTTTAACTGTTGGGCACCATGATTGAATGAAAACTTCATTAGAGATAAGAGTTTTTATGAAAAAAAATAAGAATATGTGATTGAAATTCAAGCATATATTTTTTTACAGTTTCAAAAAAAATCTTAATTCCATTGAACTGTTAAATGACTTTTTTATATTGTATTATATTATATTAGCAGTATTAGGAATTGAAATAAGAAGTAGAATTGCTGAAATCATAAGAATTGATCTTATATAAATTTTAAGAGATTTAAAAATGAAAAAGGAATTGTTTTATAAGTAAAATTAGAATTAGAAATTAAATCAACGCTACAAGAACTGAATAAAAACTGAAATTATATTTCGATCTTAAATATCAGTGAAATTATATTTCCATCTTAAATATCAGTGAAATTATATTTCCATCTTAAATATCAGTGGTGGGTTCAAGACTTCTGCGAAAGCACAAAAGTAAACAAGCACCAAATTTAAACTTTTATTTTAAAAAAAAAGAACTTTTTTTAGTATTTTTTGGTTTAATTTTCTCCTAATTATTTCTCCTGATTATTTCTTCAATTAATTGTTTAACTCTTCATGTTAGTTATTTTACAATTTTAAACATAAATCATAAATAACACTATTTTTCACCTAACAATTTCTGAGGTATCTCAAAATTACATTTTTGGTCACGTATGGTTTCATCTATATTTTCATCTATCTTCTCTGTAATATTTCATTTATATTTTCATCTCTTTCATCTCTTTCATCTCCTCTGTATTTTTTCATCTATATTTTCATCTATCTTCTCTGTTTCTCATCTTTATTGAATATTATTGACAACTTTACATCTAAAGTATTTTTATTTTTATAAGATACAACTCAAGTATAGACAATAAGCCATAATTTTATGACCATTTATGAATCTAATCTCTTTTCTGCGATAGCCAACCTTGAATTTAATCTCTCTTTTGTGACAGCTTGAGGCTTTCAGTAACTTGCAAATTTTAACCAAAACAAAATTCAACTATTTACTGCTAACATCTATCACAATATTATTCTCTATTTTTTTCTTTTTTTTTTCAAACTTTGAAATCTCTTTTTTCAAACTTTGAAATTTTGAAATCAAACTTTTTTTTTCAAACTATTGAAATCTCACAGAAACCATGACGATCTATTGCAAAGTTAACATCTGCTTTTTTTATTGTGCTCGCCATTTTCTTACTCCTGATTCCATTCTCTACCTCTACAATAAAGTGAAATTGTGCTCGCCATTTTCTTACTCCTGATTCCATTCTCTACTTCTACAAATACAAAAGCGCATTTGAAAATTTGAAAAATAAAGCTTTGTTTGTGGAGAAAAGTTTTATAATAACTAAGGAGCTGGACATCTGTACATGGTAAAAGGTATAATAAGGCAAATAAACATTACAAAAAAAGTCATTGAATATCAGTTGATTCTGCAGTTCAGGTAATAGTTTTTAAATTGGAAGCCATTTTTATGCAAGATGAAGCCTTTCAACACAGCATGGTTTGTAATAGCTTTTTTGGACAAGCAAAATATTCCTCTTCCTGCTTAGAAAAGATCATTCATGTGTGGAATATTTATCCTCAAATGCAGAAGATAGTACAATCTTGTATTGATAGCATGCCACATTTAATTAAAGGTGTGATTTCTGCTGAAGCTGGCTCAACAATGTATTATCATTGTTTAATTTTAATTAAATTAATTTTAATTTGTTTGATGTTCTATTTGTGTTCAATAAAAACAATCAAGCACCTGATAGTTTAGAATTAACATAGAATCTTATAGTACACCTAACAATTTAAACAAGGACTGTATAAAAAAATATTTTGATTGACTTGGTAGTTATAAAGGTTAAAGAATGCTTTTTAGGTTCAAGAAAATTTTTTTTAATTGAATTTAATTAAATTAGGTTCAAAGGTTTAAAAAAAAAAATTTTTTTAATTATATTTGCTTTATATTTAGTTTGATTACTATTTACTTTCTAGACTTTTTTTTTTTTTTTTTTTTTTTCAAATAGCTTTTTAGACGATTTCATATAATTGTTAAAAAATTAGGTTAACAAAAGTTAATAAAATTATTTTTTTTAATGACCAAAAATTTTTGTTTTAAACTCCTAACTAGGCTGCTAGTAACTATTCTTTAAGTTGGAAATTACCAGAAAACAAAGAAGTTAAAGAGCATGCTTGAAGAAATAAATGCTTGAAGACTAAAAAGAACTGGAGATGAGTCTGGAATAATTAAATGTTAACATACTTGACTGAGAATGTGTCTAACAATTTGGACAAGGATTGTAAATATAAATTTAAATAGTTACCAAATTTTCAAAAATTTATTACTTTTTAAATTGAAAAATGATGTTACAATAAAATTTTGTATTTATTTGGCTGAAAAAAATTAAAAATACAAAAACAAAATGAAACAATAAACAAGAAGCCCTTGATATAATTTATATACAACTAAAAATTAAAAATACAAAAACAATAAAAAACAACCAAATAAATTTCTTTAAATAGCTGCTTACCCATTCCAATTGGCTGTTCAAATGGCTAGTCAAGTTTTGTATCTTTAAAAAATATTTTAAATATTTAATATTTTGTTTAATAATTAATTACACATAATTTTTTTTAAAATATCTTCACTTCCAACAAGGCTGCAAGCAACCACTATTAGAGTTGAAAAAGTATGTAAAATATTTAACAATAGTATAAAATAAAAGACTAAATCACTACTTATTTCCTAATACTCTGTATAAATAGTAAGTATAATAAGTATAATAAATATAATAATAAGTATAATAATAAGTATAGTATAGTATAAGTATAGTAATAATAATATAATAAGTATAATAATAAGTATAAATAGTAAGTATAAAATAATAATCTTATAATAATACTTTACAAAAAGTGCCCAACATTAATAAACAAGTGAAGATTATCTTTTTCTAAATCTTTAATTAAGATTTTTCATTCACTCTGAGTATCTTCAACAGTGATGAAGGATAAAAACAACAACAGCAACATCATCAACAACAGAAACAACATCAACAACAGCAACAACATCAACAACAGAAACAACATCAACAACATCAACAACATCAACAACAGTACCAATATCAACAACAGCAACAACAACAACAGCAACAATTGCTACTACTACTAGGTATGTGAGATAAAATTTTAAAACAAATCAAATGCTAGATTGTTATATATCATTGAAAAGATCTCCATTTCAGTATTTTTTAAGTGAAAAATTTATGAAAACCAAATTATATTTACTAACCTTAAATATCATAACTTTGTCATTTCTTATCAAAATTCGTAAAACTTGGTATGAAAAGAAAGGTCATTAAAAGGAAAATAAGGATATATAAAGACTTATGCGGGGCATTAAAAAGGCATCTATAACACCCTTTAATGTATTCAATATCTAGGTTTTTTTCATAAAAATTTAAATTTTTTAAATAAATGTTTTTTTAAATTTATATATTTTATATATACTGTTTAATAATAATTTATGTCAATACAAATTTCTAAAAAAATAACACAGCAAAATATATTCATATTATGCCACTGTTAAAAATACTGAAAAAGCATGGCACAAAATTTGGACGAAGAAAATAGTTCCGATAAGGTCGGATTTACTCATACCTACTACTACAATTACTACTACAATAACTATGATTACAACTACTTCTACCACTACCACTACTACCACCATTACTACTACTACTACTACTACTACTACTACTACTACTACTACTACTACTACTACTACTACTACTACTACTACAACTATTACTACTACTACTACTACTACTACTACTGCTACTACTACTACTACTACTACTACTACTACTACTACTACTACTACTACTACTACTACTACTACTACTACTACTACTACTACTACTACTACTACTACTACTACTACTACAACAACTACTACTGCTACTCCTACTGCTACTGCTACTGCTACTACTACTACTTTTACTATTACTACTACTACAACTACTACTACTACTTCTGCTACTACTACTACTACTACTACTACTACTACTACTACTACTACTACTACTACTGCTAATAATAATAATAATAATAATAATAATAATAATAATAATAATAGTTTTAGTAGTAGTAGTAGTAGTCATACTAGCAAGATATTTAAAAATAGCAATAATTATTTAAATCATTTAATTTAATGCTGATGCTGCTACCGTTTTTCATTTGTGTACATTTAAAACAGTTTTTTAAAGAAGAGTTAGCACACTTGGCATCCTAATATTTCTCTTTATATTTTTGACCATGCAATAAGGTATTCTTAAATATTTATTATCTTTTGTTATAATATTATAATCAATATTCTGTTAATATCTGCTTAATCAGAAATAAGATCTGAAACCTTTATATTAGATAACTATTTATCAAATTCATGCATTTTACACAATTCAAATCCTTTGTCAATTGTACCAAAATTATATTAATCTGTAATTTTCATTTTTAAGAACTCAAAGACAATGTTCTTTTCAAAGTCAAACTTTTGAAAAATGTCAAACTCTTAATAAATTTGGTACTTATCTCCAAAACTCTTGCATCTCACACGGTTAACTCTATGTTGCATGTTCAAGAACAAGATTATTTTATACCTTATTTTATAGAAATTACAGAAAATTTTTGTTTGCTTTTATAATATAAAAAACCAGGTCATTTGTTTTTTAAAGTTGATAAACATTAAATACGAGATATGTCATTGAACAAATTTTACAAAAATAAGGAGGGAGGTATATTTGATTCACATGTGGTCATCATTTTATGATTTATTCTAGCCATTTTTTAATTAAATTTAAGGATAGCTTGAAGATAAGCCACCCTTCCCTAACCTTGGGAATCAAGTACACCTCAGCCAAAATAAGGTTTGATTTGTAAATGTTCCTAATTTATATAATATTCTTAATTTATAAATTTAATTTTCTTTATGTGTTACTTATTATGTTTTTATATGTATTAAGGTTATATGGGTTTATATTTTGTAAGTCTGTAAACATCTTTTATATATAAATTGTTTCTTTATATTATTTTGTATAATCAGTATATTAATCTGTGTTTTTTATTTTTAAGAACTCAAAGACCATGTTCTTTTATTGGCGTTTAAATTGGCGCTTTTTTTTCAAAAATCAATGCTTCTCAAATAGTCAATTTGTTGCATGTTTAAGAACAATATTGTTAATAGCTTGTTTTTTTTAAATCGATAAACATTCAAGGTATGTCATTTGATAAATGTTACACAAACAATGTTGTATATACAGATGTACTTATATAAAAAAACTATTGCTTTATTATTAAATAGCACTTTTTTTATAAATAATTAAACAAAACAAATTTGTGACTGGAAACCAGTTGATGTTACTAAAAAACCTGTTTTTGTTACTAAAAACCTTAATATTGATTTTTTAACAGATTTTGAAAACTACAATCACTAATTAAAACTACAGAAAATCTGTTTGCTTTTATAATATAAGAAACCAGGTTATTTGATTGTTTGGTTTCTAAAGCTGTTGAACATGCGTTGTAAGGTATGTCATTAAACGAATATTGCCCAAAAAGGGTAGTATTTGTTAATATTTTCTAATTTATATATTAAAGTGTTTTTAAATGTGTCAAATAAGTGGTAATGTGTGATATTTATTAAGTGTTTATTTGTGTTAAGGTTATATGGGTTTACATTTTGTAAGCATGTCATAAACATGTAAATATCTGTTATATATGAAGTGTTTTTATGTGCATTTAGTGTTATAATGTTACATGTTTATAGTTTGTAAGTGCTATTATGTAACTTGGCTTTGTTGAGAGCAAGAATGTTGTCCTTGCCAGCCAAACAGTGTACTGTCATGATGAAACAAATAATAAAATCTGTTTGTAATCATAATTAAAAATCTGTTTGTAGTCAGTGTAATCATAAAATATGTAACTTTTAATTAGATAACATATTTTAATAATTATTTACTATATCAAGTACAGTTGCTGCAACAGTAATTGTGTCAACAAGTGCTGCTTTAATAGTAACTATAATGACATTGATTGTTTTCATTGTAATTTTTTTAGCTGCAGTTTCTCCTGTTACAACAAGGAAGTTGCTGCATTCACTTATACTTGTCTTATTACATTGATTAATTGTTATTTTTTTATTAAACAATTAATCAATGTAATAAGCCATTATTAGTTGCATCTTCCCAGTAGATAATTGTTTATATATATATATATATATATATATATATATATATATATATATATATATATATATATATATATATATATATATATATATATATATATATATATATATATATATATATATATATATATATATATATATATATATATATATAAACTATTTTAATAAAAATTCTACAAAACAGAGTGCTCAATATTCTTAAAAGAACAGAGCAATAATAGAGTAGTAGAAAATCACTTTACAAAAATTTTTTTCATAGCGAAGTAAGTAAACTAACTTTCAAGAAGTAAGTAAACTATAATTTCTTTAGAAGTAAACAATTTTTATTTATATAAAGTGATAGTTATAAAAAATTTATTTCAAGTATGGAGAAATCAGTAGCATATTTTTTATCAAATATTTGTATACTAATAGTAATTTGATTGTTGGTAATAGTTATATAGTTATATACACGCAGCTATTTAATAATTAAATTTCATTATTATATGTAAAATTTGAATTTTACATATAATAATGAAATAAGAAAAAAATCTTTATGTGTTTTTTAACAAGAAACTTGGAATTTATTTTCTAGACCAGATGTTGTGATTATTATATTTTCTAGACTAGATGTAGTGCTTTATCATATGATATGCTAAATGTATATATTGTATTGTGTGTATATCTTAGATGCGCAGGAGATAATGGCAGAAGAGACAGAGTCTCTTCTGCCTTATTTTAAAGAATTCTTCAATAATCAAAGTTAGCATTTTCTATTTTTTCTTTTTTACTTCAGTTTTTTCGAAGTTTATGTTACAGTAAATAAATTTATGAACTAATCTTTTATACATTTTGTTTATTTAGAAAATTTAGAAAGTAGAGTTAGTAAGCAAAATTTCATTATATTACTTTTATGTATATTAAATAAAAAATAATGAGGTTGGCTTTAGTAATTTGTTCATCTATTTAGAAAAATTAGAAGATTTACAAAAGTCCATAGGTGAGTAAAATTGCTTTTATGTTTATTATACACCCTAATTATTTATGTACATCTAATATTAAATGCGTTTTTTCAATTTGAGATTAGTTTTGGACTTTGTACTTTTTGGTCAATTTTTTTAGATATCATTTTAAACTATATTTGTAAGTAACTATATTATGTTTTATGTCTCATAAAAGTTTTAATAAATAATATAATGTAATCACTTATATAGTGACAAATCCAACTTCCTCAGTAACGTATGTTGTTGTACTCACTTAGACTTGATTTATTACATTGATTGATTGTTTTTATTGCATTTTTAATTTTCTTTTATTTATGTCTAGCTGTTGCTTCTTCTGCTACAAGTAAGT